TTATTTATATTTTTAAAATGCATAATAGCGTATATTTTGCAAATACAGTAACATGTCTCATGAAAGATGTTTTTCTACATCACATAAAGAAATTTCTAGTTAGTTTACGATTCTCATGAGCAATCAGTTGAATTCAGTTTTAGTCAGGAAGGAATGGGAATGGCAAGATGGATAAACCTCTGAAGGGCATTATACTCTACCAAAAAAAAAAAAGAAACGTAACTGTCCTGCTCCTTAGAGTTTATTATTTGAAGATTTTGAGTGTGGGGGCTAATGTGTGGGTTATGGTACTCTCTCATGAAATATTTGCTGAAATGCAGGGGAATAGTTTGGGATGTCCTGAAGAGCCTGACAATGATTTTGGTAGTTTAGTTCCCTTTCGCTGAGCACCAGAATCCCAATCCAGCAGGTGTGTATAACATGCTACTGATCGTTGACGTCAATAAACCAGAAGTTATCTGAACAGATGACACCAGCATCTTCCTGATGAAAAGAGTTATTGACGAACCATCCGTTATGGGAGCACTGCCAGAGGAGAGCATCACCCCCTTGGCATTGCACCTCGTCCAGGAGGATTTCCCCTGTGTCGTCACCAAAATGAGCTTCTTCCAGAGCTGCAGAAAATCTGTTCTACCCATTCACTAGCCTCAGGGGCAATTCTTTGGAAAAGCTGAGAATAGCATAGCAGAAGGTCACTGCCATCAGCATTTCACTTATTGAATTAAAAATTGAATGCATGTGGCCCCTTAGGGATTACTTTTGCACTGGGTGCATGTATACTGTGTGGCTTCCAGCTGAAGATCTGCACAGTGAAGAGCACGTGTTACCCCTTGGCTCTGAACTATTTCCAGATTATTACCCGCATTGATTAATATTATTCCCAAAGCTCACAGAAACCGTGTCACAGACAAACACCTCGCTATATGGAACAGATCTGCTGACACTGGTGTATCCAAAGCAGTAATTCAGACCTAGGCTGTGTCTAAACTCTAGGCTGTGACTAACATGCTACACATATGCAGCTCACCATGCTTCTACCAAATTCCCACACCTGCTTGCTGGGGTCCCCTTTCAGCGTGTCATTACATTTTTGTCCAAACCCCTCCAGTGCACTAAAGAAAATTACTTACTTACCATTATGTATTTTTTCCTGCAATGCATTAAAATACAATACAATACAAATCTTTTCTACATTACATTAAAAGAAATAATTAAAATATTTGGTGGCATCTTCAATCCTCAAGCCCGCTAAACACCCATGATGTCTACTGGTTTGAGTGGGTTTTGATACAGGTTACAAAATTTCCCAATATTGATTTTAGAGGAAAACACAAGAGAGAGAGAGGTAGTGCTGAGTAGCATAAGGCACAGTACCTGACCCCTGCAGACATCCTCCATACAGCAGTAGCATCCGAACAGCGGTCAGCATGGGGCTCATGTTAACCAGGTTCCCTGTAACGCAGATAAAACATGTTTCAGAATTTATAAGCATGTAGATTTAAAGGGGTGTGCTCTGCAGTTTGACCAGCCTTATTTTTTGTTTTTAAGTTAGCGATTTCATACAATGGAGATACTTTTAACTTTTAAAAACATTCTCTTAATTTTTTTTGGCAAGAGTTTGTTTCTAATAGCTTGATTTTTCAATTACCTTAATTATTGTTTGAAGCCCTTCTCTTCTACGGGACCAGTGGTTAAACCCTCCCCTTGGCATATCCAATGGCAGCCACTGGCCCAAGAGGAGCCAGCTGCATGCAGCCAGGGAGAAAAATTAGTGATGCCAAGCGAAAAATTATGACAGATTTTTTTCACCTCAGTTTCTCCGCTGCCCTGAAGTTGAGCTGGGGGTGGCTGTGTCGCCCCATCCCCTTGCAGACCAGCCCCCCCCAGCCCACATCCACGGTGGTGGCTCTGCCCAGGCTCTTTCAGGGTGGCTCTGTAGGCTGAGACGGTTGCAGGGATTTGCAGCATCTCCCACCCTGGACTGCTTGTGCTGTCCGGGAGCCTGGACAGAGTGATTCCCAGCAAAGAAAACCCCAGCTGGTGCACCTCTTGGGGCAGGGGTACCATGAGCTGGCTGAGGTCTCAGCCCCAGGCTCCCCTCAGAACTGTACAAATTCCAGTCTGTATTCCAAACAGTTAATTTTCAGCTTGATCTGTAAGTGTCATCCCAGCTGTCATACTTCACAGCCTTCAGGAAGCATCTCATGTGACGCCTGGATTAATCTTTGCAGTGTTGGCAGAGAGTAGTCCACTTGTCTTCCTCAACAATGCGTTCCTTAGAGAAATCCAGTGAACTTTTATGAAACAAAGAAGGCTTGTTTCGCACTGGCAAGGCTCAGATCAAGTGTTTACATGCCCAGTGTGCAGCTTTCAAATGCACGCTGCCCAAGCTGCCCAGGAGCTCTAAAAGAAACTGAAGCAGTAGGTTTTGGCCACCCTCCTGCAACCGGGGCTTCACAGTTGGCTTTCTGAGCCTGAAACTAGGGATGGCAGGATCCAGCATTTTGGAAAGAAGGCCTGGCTTTGCCACATTAATATTGTCATCCTCCCTGCCACCTCTTTGCATGGGAGACCAGAGCCCTCACATCAGCGTAACTCAATTTTCATCATATCTCATGCAAAAAAAGCTCTGCTCGAATCCAGGCTTAGCAATGGAAGATGGTGGCAACTAATGCCAAATGCTTCAGAAACACCTCAACATCACTAGCCGAACCTGTGTATAAACCTTTGTAACCAGGTAACTTCAGCAAACGAGGAGCCCTAAAGTTGGGGTCCTTCTGTGCTAGCAACTGGTTGGGCACAGAAGAAAAGTCAGTCTTTGTATGGAGTGCCTAATTTTACTCAGTGACTAAATTAAAGAGCAATAAGCAGAAGTTATGAGAGAGATAAGGCAAGGTGTAACAAGATCTTGACATGTACCAGGAATATATCTGCATGGTTTTCAAGGAGCAGGGGTGAGAGGGAGCAAAAAGAAAAAAGAAAGAAAAAAATCATATGAGACCTCTACTAAAACCATAAGAGGCTTCATCCTCTTCCCAGTAGATGAGGTTTTTTGCAACCTCTGAAGCTACCAGGTAACACTCACCTGACTGCAACTGTTCAAAAACCACATTTCGTCTATTCTAGTCACTCACACACCCACAGAAAACTTCCTTAGACTCAACAGGTTTGCATGACTGTCTGAGGACAAAATACAGGTCTCACAGTCTTCATACAGAAAGAGGAGGAAAGACAGAATCTATCTCTCTGAAACTATAGTTACTGAAAACTGAAATGTCTTTCAATGTTTAAATGACATTTTGGTAAGACCTGAAATGTGTCCTGGCTGAGATTCAATCTTCTGGATGAGATTTACAGTTTTGCCTGGTTTAGGATGTATGTCAATGGAAAGGCTTCCAACTGATTTGACAAGCCTTGTCAATCAGGCTTGATTGTGTGATCAGATTGTGTGATTCAGCCTTAATTATTGCAAACAAAACACCTGCAACAGGTCAGTATCTTTTGAATTTGGATTTATTTAATCTAGAAAAGTGAAAATTTAATGGAAAAAACATCAATCTTCAACTAGTAAAATGCACCTAAAGAGAAAGGGGAGAAAATTACTCCCCATGGCCAGGAGGGACAGGGCAAGAACTAATGGGCTTGACCAGCAACAGTGAAACCTGAGGATAGACATTGTGAAAAGCCTTGTCAATGGTGATGCTAATTTCCATAGTGAGTCTCGTTAAGCATGAGAAGAGATTGCCTAGGCAAGTTAGGGAAATGTCTGGTGGGAAGACGTTGGGCTGGGGTGGAGGTGCTGAGGGTGCAGAGGGAAGATCTGGCTGATGTGCTTTTTATGTTCTGGGTGAGCAGCAGTGCCCATGGCCGAGGAGGAGGTGGCACACGTGTGGCTGGCTCAGAGGATGGAGGCAGCAGCAGGGACCTAGCAGCCCTGTGGGAAACAGGCTGTGGTGTTCATGGGGACAAGTGCCACAATGTGGAGCAAGGAGACCAGGGCTATAGCAGGGATCTCAGGAGCAGGAGGTGTGCGTCATGAGGTAACAGAAATCACAAGAGAAAAGAGCAACGGTAGTTGCACTAAAACGGTTGGGGAACTTTTTCTAGACCTCTCAAGGCATGATGATTTCTGTGCTCTGTTGCTTCTCAGACTTGCAAATATGTCTGTCATCAATGAGGAACCAAGGAAGCCTTCACGGCCTTCCCTGTGAGGTTTGGACATTTGTTCTACCTTTGCTGCTAGATTTTATTTTTTACCTACCCTTTACAGTTTAACTCTATTAAAATGCCTTGCTGTAGCCTCACACGCAGAGGTGTGCCCAACACTCGTACAAAACAGAGGTACCTCACACCTCTTCACAGCAATATGTAGAAGAGTTTCAAAAACGTGGTCCCTCTCTGGAAGGAAACAGGAGACCTGGTTACCTGAGACATGGAGAACGCTGAGGTACTCAATAACTTTTTTGCCTCAGTCTTCACCAGCAAGTGTGCCCGCCGCACCACCCAAGTCACAGAAGGCAAAGGCAGGGACTGGGAGAAAGAAGAACCACCAACTGTAGGAGAAGATCAGGTTCAGGTTTCCCTGAACAATGTGGGTCATTTTGCTTTGTGTGTGACACACAGAAGAAAGTAATAGAAACCAAAAGAAAAGGCATTTCTGAATCAAGAGTCAGCAATCTGGCTTCCTAGAGCCAGATATTTTCTGTAAATTTTTGCATATGCAGAAAGAAAAAGAATTGGCTCATTCCTTTTGAAACCCACATTAAGATATTTAGAAATTTCCTATGTAGTATTTCAGAAACAGGGGCTCAGTCCATCACTTGGCGAATTTTTAATCCAACAGACCACACTCCTCAACACAGTAAAACATTCATTTGTATTTTCGTCACAGAGACATTAATTTGAAAGACAAAATAAAATTATTGCTTTGTAAACGCTTCTCCCTTTGATTTTAAATTACACTGCTCACATACCAGATCACTTTTTCTTGGACATCTCTGCATTTTATAAGTAAGCATAGATCCATTATTGTTTCAATGAGAAATTTAGCATTAAAAACAATGCTCAAAATAATTAGAATATTGTATAGCCACAACTCCAAATGCCATGCCAAGATCAATTTTTACATTTCCTTTCCAGACATGACCTATTACCTCTCCCCAAATTAAATCTTCCTCCCTTTTAATAAGCCTTGAAATATTTATTGATATCTCACTCATATTTTCTCTCCAGCTCACAAAATTTTGAGGCATCGGATAAATGGTCTTAGAAGGATGTGAGAAGAGAATTAAAGAGGAGAAAACCAATAAAACGATTGTACCAAACAACTTGTGACATGAGTGTTGGAATTATTTTTTAATCATTTAAGAGGTGTTAGGATTACAAAGTTATTCTAAAGCATTGTAACAGGCTAGGATTCATTGTAGATAAAGATATCACAGCTTCTTACAAATGCCACATATGTGACTGTCATCAGCGAAGCATTTTGTTGGCTCATAATATGTGACGTTCCGCTGTAGTCATTTAGTGGATGATGCTGACTTTTGATCTCACATCACCTCATGGGAAAGCGGTTTCTTCAGTGCAGTTCTTGCAAGAAAACCGGCAAGAACAAAAACGACAACTGCCAGGACGGCAGCAACAGCAATGACCGGTGCGAGGGGATTATCAGCAGCAGCGGGAACCGCCTGGGGACGCGGCTTGGAAGAGTCCAGCCCTGTGAGTGGAGGCAGAGGGGGTTTGATCTCAGTATATTAAAGATCAGGGCACAAAGAACTGCTGTTTTAAAAGGGATGGATCCCAGATCAGGGTCAGAAAGAAGCTAACTTCTTACAAATTCATTGCTTTAAACTATTTGAACAGGCTTTGTATTAGCAGGGATGACAACTTAACTAACTGAGCAAACTGCATAAGCAGAAGACAACTGAGGGAATTAAATGTTTCTCAAGAAGGCTGGGAGTTTGCTCCCAGCTGGCCTTCATGTTACACAAGCAGACTGGAGCTAAATAGTTCAATGGAGTTATAGCACTAAAATAGGTTACATGCTACCTCTCCTTTGGGATAGGCAAAGCAGTTATACTTTTTATACATGCAGGAGAAAACAGGGGGTTTGCAAGGTGTTGAAAGAAGAAGAGAGTTGTAGACATTTGGATCAGCCAAACAATCCCTTTCTTTTTATGGCAAAGTTAGTAAAAGCAGATTTCAGTGACAGACATCAGAAACGCAGAGCTATGGCTTTTCTTGAAGCCCAAAGTAGTCTTAGAGTAAATATGGGAGAAACTTATTTGTCTTTACCAGTATTCCTACTCTGAGCATCCCCTTCTCGAAGCTGAAGTGGTCCGACAACGACCTTCACTTCTTCCTCGACAGAACTTGTATCTCTCTTGGACCTGTTAATACAGCCCCGGTAGCAGCGGGAGGAATAGTCACCGAGCCTGCACACCACCAGCTCACACTGCAGGTACACTAACGTATGGCGGCGGATGAACTCGAAGGCATTAAATTTGAACCGAGCAAAGTGGCTGTAGGGGGAGTAGTATGTGGTGTAGGAAGAATCTCTAACACATCTAGGAAGAAACGGAAAAGAGAATTAGTCTTCATGGATACACACATGTATATTTCTGCAAAAATAAACAGATTAAAACAAAATTATATCATGGCCAGGTACTAAGAGCACAATGGGATAAAAATGCAACTTCTATAGCATAGCATACGCTTTTAAAATATAGACTTATTTAAGTCCTATGAAGCAGCTAGAGCATTGGCAACTCTTTTTTTCTAAGAGAAGGAGACTGTAAGTGGTGAAGAGGGGAGAACAGCCTCTTACTAATGTCTGTGCTGTACAAGGCATAAAAAAATGAGTCTAATGCTTGACCTGGTTTTACTAAAATAGAATAGGACTACGGATTCCTGCTGCCAGTTTTCACTATCTCAACTCATCTACCTCAATCCCACTACTTTGAATTTTGCATATAGGACAAGGATGAAGTAAGTGAAACAAAATGTTAGTAAGGTCTAAATGTCATTTCTTATTTCCAGGCTCATACTGTAAAAATAAAAAATTGGACCCCTTTAAACAGTCTGTTGGTAATGAGATCTAAACCAATTCAGACTGGCTCTATTCTTTTAATTAAATGCGGAAAGGGTATCACAGCTATGCTTCTAACGACTTGAGAAAGCTCTTACCCATCCTTGATTATATCATAGGCCAGAGTGTTAAAATCATGACGATCAGGTGATGCCACACATGTGTCCACAAACACAATCAGATTTGGGTCAGAGTTGTGAAGAGAAGCTTGAAGGTACAAATCTTGGTTCAACTCAATGTAGTATGGAGAGTCATGCACTTGCCACAAGAATGATGAGGAATCATAAAAAGTGATGTTCACGTCATATCTTCCAAACTGAATTTCATTCACATCTATGGTATCCTCAGCAACATACATTATTTGCATCCATGTGTTTTGTAGCATTTTGCAACTGATATGTAAGTGAATATTCTTCTTCCTCTTGATTATGTACCCAGAAGATGTAATTTTGATCATGTTGGAATAGTTGATTGTATCATTATTCTCCTGTTTAACATGTAATTTATAATGAGGAATTGCATTTTTGTCAAGTTCCATGTTCTAAATTTTGATAGAGTAATATGCAATTTAAAAATATAGATTAATCTTAAACTCTTTAAGCCAAAAAACTTGATGTTAGTCTTTTCTGCTCACACATTGTAAATAAACTTGCTGAAGTATGTAATTAAACAGAAGTCAGTGGAGAAAAACTCTGTTAAACCCAAGGCATTGAACATCTGTATAAAACTCTAACCGTCATCCCAAACCTGCCTGGCACTTACAAGACTACATCTACTTTAAATCATGGAAAGTTCATATAACTTCCTCCCATGCTTTCCTCCCTAGAAGCTCATTTCTATTAAGCATGGGGATTCCCTAAGGCATGGAAAGCTAAAGCACTAAAAACCTTTGGGTCTCGTTGGTTCACTTCTTAGCACTGTGGACCACAATGGCCCTTTCATGATTTTTTAAAGTGGGTCCTGCAATTCAGCGTGCACAACGGTGAGCATACCTCTCGTATTGTCCCACAGCTGTTGTAGGGAATGTTGAATATAACCTCGCGTGACGTGATTCTCGGTTTACAGTGACTGTCGTTCAGGGTGACCATCTGCGCCGAGTAGCCTTGAGACTGGAGATAGTCTCTGCTCACCACTGCATGCATGTAGTCTGGCAAGCACAGAAGGGCTGGTAGAAGAAGAAGAAACAATATAATAGTGACTTCTGGAATTTGTTAATGATTAAAGGTTGGAATTGAACAAAATGTTGTTTTTTCCTTAATTTAGAAGGCGCAGTTCACACCAAGCCATCATATTTCACATGCATCATTTCATTCCCCAATATCTTTAAATACTCACAAATATTTATTTTGCAAACGAAAGCAATAAACAGGCTTGCACATTGAGAAACACCAACGGGGAACTTACTAGTGTTGTGATCTGCTGGAATGGAGGAGTAGTAAGCCTGAAACCCTCTGAAGGTGTATCTGGAATCGCTGTGAAAGCGAATGGTCATCATGTTTGAAGAGGATATGTACATGGGAAAGGAGCCAGAACAAAGTCTCCCAAGAAGCGGGGAAGAATGTGGAGGTCCGTCGTAGACTTCAACATAGTCATACCGGCATCTGTGGCTTTGCATCCTGGTGAACAAATGTCAGCACCTTGTCAGATGTGTTTCAGAAACTCTGATTTAACTGCCTAACATGTGATAAAATCTTTCAGCACTTAAAGTTTTCACAACAGAGGTTTTATTTGTTTTGGATGTAGCCATAGCAGAAAATTGTGAGCAGAGAATACTACAATAATCCATATTTTGTTCTAGTCTTCCAACTGCTGGATGTTATCGAAAGTACCTTTAAAATTGGGAAGGTTGCCTGTTCAAATAAGTTTTCAGACTCTCAAGTAAGTTTTTACTTTCTTATTTGCCCAGGGAATCAATGTTTTACTTACGCGATATCTCTAAATGTGAGCATAACACGGAAATTGTTCTCCACTTGTATTTCCCACATGCAGTCAGCGTTGTTTGGATAATTTCCAGGGTAGAAGGGACTCTGCAGCATCCCAGAGGAATTTGAGAATGAGCCACCACAAAAATAAGGTGCTGCTGAAAGAAATGGAAGAGAATTTTCTTACAGTGACCTCTACAAAATTGTACTTGACCTGTATGACTCTCATCTGCAGCTGCTGAAAAGCAGGTCTGCTGTTGACTGCTGGTGATATTCTGTATAACCCAAATCAAAACAAATATTTGTTTTTGCTTTAGGTTTACTTTCATGTTGGAGTTGGGATTCTCATCCATGGTGTCAGACCACCCTCTTCAGGCTGGGCTGGTAACACCTTGATGCTTTCTGCCCTGGTCTCTCCTTTCCGCAGTGGAGATCTGATTCTGGGAGGTGTCATGACAGTCAAAATGGAAGTACCTTCCTGAACAGATAGCATCCCCTTGGTTACTCTGCTGCTTGTCTTTGTTCCTCTAAGGACTTTGGAGGATAAATAAGTTGCCAGCCTTCTAGGAAACTCTGTAATTTTATTGTCTCAGACTGAAATAAGCACTCCAGGCTGCTGGGCCAAGTCTTAAATAAATCTCGTTTCTCCTATAAGCATAGCTGCAAAAATCTTTCATGTTCCTGCCAGCATGAATGGCATTTAATTCTTATGTTAAACACACAGATAATCCTAAAAGTTTCCCTATATGAAGGTAAGCACAAGCTCTGAACTTAATTCCTACAACAGGTGACACGTAAAGACAACACCCCTCCATTTTATGTTCCTGCACAGTGATACCCCCCCATGCAGCAGACTCCTCTCTGCCTCAGGATTTTGGGATTTTGGGGCTATTCCAAGCATGGGAGCATCAGCTGTACCCAGACACTGCCCATTTCTCGGATCAGACTGGATGGGCTCTCAGGCACCTTCACTTTCATACCTTTTTCTACTGTGAATGGTCAAGCTCTAAACCTAAAATCTGCTTTCTAATGCAAAAGTAGCAGGCTGAAGACCATAACAGCTCTAGTAAGCAAAAGAGCAAAAAATTACCCATTGGACACAGCTTCTCTGATAAACCACCTGTGACTCTGAATGCAAATGGAGAACATTTAAATTAAACCAGTATAATTTTGAAAAAGAAGCCACATTTTTTAAGGAAACTCTAAAAGAAGACAAATTAAATTATACCATCAGGGAAGTAGATAAAACACATATGGAAAATGAAAAAAATTTAGGAGAAAAAATGGTTTATGAGTGCTGTATAGAAATCATAACAATAAGGAAACTGTAGCATGCACCCAAAAAATTAATGTCAATAAAATTACACTGTACATGTAGTCCTGGCATGGTTTGATGTTGTTGCCCTTTAGATCATCAGTTCTGACCAAAGTACATATACGACCCTACCAATGGTGATGTGTGGTTAAAAAAGTTAGAGATTTAGACAACATCTCCTAAGCCTTGACCAAGCTGAAGAGCACAGCGAGGAAATGGCTTGTCCTCAGCCAACCAGTATAACTGCAAAATAAGCGTCACTGAGATGCAAGGGGATAGCACAGCTGTCTAAGAATTATCATGCAAGTTTAAAGTGATATTGCCATAGAAACAAAAATTATATTCAAAAAGCCCAACAGGGAGACAGCCCACAAGTAAAAAACTTTGAGAAGAGCCAAAGAAGAGCATTACCTGATGGAGGTGTTGGAGTGACTGGAGGAGCTGTGGGTGTGGAGGAAGAAGAGCCTCAGTGAGATGTGTTGCTCAGGAGAAAGGCGCTGGGACACAGGCATGGCCCCACCACAGAGCATAGGGTACCACAACGGGGATTGTGGCAAGGAGGGGATGGGGACATGGGGGACAAGGCATAGAGGGCCGTGAGCTCCATGGCAGAGCTGGTGGGCTCTGGTGCCCACGCACCTGTGCAGATGACGCTGGCGTCCTCCACGTGCCTGCAGTTGTGCACGCCCCAGCCGTTGTGCCTGCACATCTGGAGGGAGGACTCGTCCCCGCGGCACTGCACGTCGTCCAGAAAGATGTTCCCAGAGCCGAGGCCGAAGCGCGCGTTGCCCGGGGCGGCCGTGGGCTGGCCGCAGCCCAGCTGCCGGCACACCACCT